AATATTCATTTACTTTTTAAATAATTTAATATAAATATTTTATTTTTTATTAATTGTAAAGCGCACGCATTAAATAGAATTTCAGCGCTTTTATTTTTTTTAGAATACCTAGAAAAAAAAAGAGCTATCTACATTTTCTTCAAATTCAGCTAAAAGGACATCGAAGAAGCGATCCAAAAAAAATGTTTTCATCTGGTATCGAATAAATAACCTGGAATTTGTCACACATGCGGAATATAAATTCACATACATACATAATAAACCTTTTAAAAACCTGAATAAAGAGCTGCAATGAAATGAACTTTAGTACAAAACCTATCTTGGTAAATTGCGAATATTTTATAAGAATTATTTCGATTCTCTGCAAACAATTTTCTTTATTCCATTATTCTGGTCTCTTAACAGAAACACTCTGCCATATAAGACTAAGTCATGAAGAGTCTTTCAACCGAGAAGAACCTCTGATAAGAGAACCCTAAAAGAGACTAAGGTTAAGCTATGTTTTTAGGTTAAGGTTTCTAACACTTGTGACTCTACTGTAGCTCAGGTTACGTTAACCAATCAACTTCCAATAATTACCTGCAAAATACGCTAAGCCATTAAATAGATCGAAAATCCATCAGGAAATAAGCTATTTTAAATCAGTTTTCAACTCAAGCTTTCGGAGTTATTAGAACTTCCTCAGGTGTAAGACAATTGTGTTGGAAACTTATATCCCGGGATGGAGCTTCGGTTTAATTATAACTAGGAGAATAGATAATACTATCCTATGTATAGAGGTGTCGATTCTTTGAGAGATGTAGAGATTTGATGACAGATACTCAATAATACATCATTATATACAGTAGAACTCCTCAAATTCGGAAAGCTTGGGGCGCAAGGTATTCCGAATTTGAGGATTTTCCGAATTTGAGAGAGTTAGATTTGTGAATATTTATGTGGCATAAATAGGCATTTAGATGACTGAGACAAAGATTTTGAAGCATATGAACAATTTTAGGTTGAATATTATATGTACATTACATAATTTTAATTACGATTTTTAATCAAATGTTCCTTGACTTTTATGAGTTTTGAGCATGAAACCGATGAAAAATAGTAAAATATTTTATTATGTATGTGATGATTTAAGACCATGGAATTGTTGTAAATAGTCTAGATATCTACTACCACATGTTCCACCCCATGACTGTATATAACTTCTTATGTACTGCAAATAGAAAGCCTCAACTAACATCAATCTGTACCGCGTAAGAATCTAATAAAGTATAGCAACTGTACAGATAGAAGGAATGGAGACTAACAGGAGAAAATTAAGGTTAAAACTAATCAGGCTTAGGTGAGAGTAGAAGCAAGACATAGGAAGTAGGCTTAAAGCGGGCACAATTATTAATAACTTGTACCGTCAATACTTCCTGACAGGGCCGGACGTATCTGGTGACCGCAGAAGTTATAAAAGGTGAGAGACGCCCAATATTTCCGGGGCAGGACCGGTCGTATTTGATAACCGCGGAAGTTATAAGAGTCGAGCTAACACCCAATACTTCCTGACCAGGCCGGATATATCTTCCGACAAAAGCAGCCGCAGGGCCAATTAGAAGACAATACCTAAATAGGTCAACCAATAGCCAATGGCCACGTGACATAGTCCCGCCAATTAGAAAGTATCGCCTAAATAGGTCAACCAATAGAAAAAGGTCATGTGACATCTTTCGACCAATGGGAAAGAAGATAAGTATTGGTGTTAAATCGAGAACCTAGGTTAGGCAGTCTGCGCTTGGATCCCAACGGTAACACTTGCTCTAAAGATCTCTCTCTCCACTCTCCATTCCTTCTTGACGTCAGACGCTTCTTAGTGGAATCTCTGTTTGTTTATTTCACCTTTGGCCCAGCTGTGTCGCCTTCCACCACGACTGCACGGTAGAGTTGACATCGAGGTTCTTCTAGCATCAGGTAACACTGGTCCCAGAGGTCCCAAGATATCACATGTATGTAATGCAATTGATGGCCAAGTAAGTTATGGCTTGGCAAAGAAGGTGCTGATTGTTGTCTGTTTCTTTGGCTTGTTTAACAAAGCTTCTTCTTCTCTCATAAGCATAGTTCGAAGACTATTGATGGTGTTGTAGCTTGCAAGCATTTCTGGTTCAGTGCGCTTTTCCAAATATTTTAATGCAACATCCAAACTTTTCAACGCTTCGCATCTGGGAACATCCGGCTCCAAACTTTCGGTAGAATCAACAAACTTTGTAAGTTTAAGCTCAGACTTTTTTATATCATAAACAGTTGTCTTAGAAATTTTATACTTTTGCATTATCGTTGTATAGCTTAATCCTTTTTTAATGTCACTAAGAACAACTAACTTTTCACCAAGCTTAAGAATTCGGTACTTGCCTCGTTTTTGCCGCTCCTCTTTGGATGCCATTTTGTTGAAGAACAAACTTGTAAATGCAAAAAATTGAGAGTTGAATAAAAGAATTTGAAACTTACAATGTCTGAAAATGTTTGATAATTTGAACTTTAGGTGAATCAACTTTGCAATAAAAAATGCGTGAATGGCTTATGACGTAATAATGCTGCCTTCTTATTGGACAATATCCTAAACTAAACACAAAGGTCAAATGAAACTGTTGATTTATTTAAGCTTTTAAAAAAAGGGATAAACACCTAATTAGCTATTATAAATAATCGGTAAAAAAGCAAATTAATTAAACACTTAAATTAAAAATAAAAAAATTACTAATAAAAATTAAATTAAATAAAATAAAAGCAAAGCAAAAGTAAAAGTAAATAAAATAAAATAATGTTGAAATATCAACAAAATAAAAGCATGTTAAAATTGATTTTTGTATGTAAAAAAAACATTACAATACTTTCCGAATTTGGGAGTTTGCGAATTTCAGAATTTCCGAATTTGAGGAGTTCTACTGTATATACTAGCCAAATGACCCGGGCAGCGCCCGTGTTTTACCCAATTGAATGTTTTTATTCAAATACTATTTGTTACAATTATAAATTGGAGCCGTGGATGTCACTCTTGTGAAACGTCCCGCTCCAAACTTTACATGTACATTAGGTCAGCTGGTATTACCCCTCATTTTCACCGCAAGAGGCGCGAGCGAATTGACTTTTTGTAAATATACATAATTATAAAGATAGAAGCTTCTATAGAAGATAATGATCATAATGATGATGCGCGCGCATCCGTGACAGCGGCCGATGAGGAATTGAGGAAAGACGGTCGTGACTATATATGTTGATAATAATGATAATAATAATAATTATTATTATTATCATTAGATAATGATAATGATCACAATGATGATGCGCGCGCATCCGTGACAGCAGCCGATGAGGAATTGAGGAAAAAAGGTCGTGACTATATATGTTGACTAGACGAATGGCCCGGGCAACGCCCGGGTTTTACCCGAGTGCGTATATATTTTAAAAATGTTTTAATTAAAATACTATTCATTACAATTATAAATTAGCGCCGTGGATGTCTCTCTTATGAAACGTCCCGCCCCAAACTGTGTGTGTCTTGAAAATATAAAAATAAAAATGTGAACGGAAAAATATGTCCAGGGTAGCCTAGTGGTCATGGCATCTGCCCGGTAAGCGGAAGGTCGTGGGTTCGATTCCCATCCCTTGACACTTTTTTTATTTTATCCATTCTGACCAAAATCTATCCGTGAACTTCACACAGTGAACTTCACACAGAGAGAATAAGGCAATTATATAAGTAGATAATCCAAATTGTGCCTTATCACACACTATTTTTTTATTTGGCCTTATTACCTTGTGTTTATAATCTATGACGTAATGCCGGCGGCGCGCGCCCGTTGGCTGCCGGCGAGCACGTGACCTCCCTGTGCGCGCGCATCCGTGACAGAACCGGCCGGCCCATGACAGTCGTGACTATATATGTTGATAATAATAAAATAATAATAATAATATTATAATAATAATTATTATTATTATCATTAGATAATGATCATAATGATGATGCGCGCGCATCCGTGACATGAGGAATTGAGGAATTGATTGTTTGAGGAAAGACGGTCGTGACTATATATGTTGATATATATATATATATGTAGTAATCCCGACCAAGCCGATGTGGAATGTACTGGGCAGTCGTGGTTGTGGATGTGTGATGGGATTCCCGCACGGGGACAGCAAGGAACAGAGGCAGGTCTAGATAGTAGCTCCAAGAGGTAGAGGTAGACCACGGACGAAGGCAGTCGAATCACGGGCGCCGCGGATGCCCTAAGCCTACATCGCGGATAGAAGAAGGGTGAGAGATCCGACCGACCGTATAACGGCGTCATTCTGAAAACAACTACTTTGCCTCTTTTCTGGGCCCTTTTATATTGGATCCCCGCATATGGCGGAGAGTCCTGATTGGTTCTTGTAATCACGCCACTTCCTGGCGCCGTTTTGACGGGGTGATTGAATTCATTGTCGTCATTTGGTCTACCTCTGCTTCTTTGTTTATTTGTTACATCCATTTTTACAAGGTCGATACATATTTTTATAAAAATATGGGGTTATAATAAATATTAGAAGAAGGTTGTGAACTATCTAACTCAAAATATATTACAGAATGTGTCCCCGGTGATGAAGGTTTGGTTGGGGGAATAACATGTAATGAATGATGACCTAACAAACCTATTATAAAAAAATAAATAAATAATTTGTATACAAATTATTTAAAATTATTATTAAGCTACAAGTTAAAAAGAGAAAGATGTTGTAATGGTGGTGTATCAATGAAATAAAAATCAAGGTTATAAAAATAAAAACGCACAAAATGAATGATAAAAGATTAAGAGAAAGTATATAATACAAAATGTTAAAATGAATCGTACAAGGAAAATAATATCTTATTGCATAAAATATGAGAGGAAAAAAATGAAGTTAGTTTATTGACTGAATCTACTTATATATTTGCCTTAATCTGTCTGTTTGTCTGTTTGAAGCTCACGGATGGGATTTTTCATAACCATCGGTGGTTCAGTGGTAGAATGCTCGCCTGCCACGCGGGCGGCCCGGGTTCGATTATTTGAATAAAAGCATTTAATCGGGTAAAACCCGGGCGTTGCCCGGGTCATTCGTATATAATAATTGTATAAACGAATGCAAGACAAAATCACCGCGAATGTTTCTTTTTTTTAAGGCAATTTCTTTTTAAGGCAATTGTCGTTATTTATCGTTAATTTTTGTTTCGATTTTATTGAAAAAAAACGATATGGTGCCTTTAAAAAATTATCTTTATTACTATGCAGTTTTCTATTTAGTCAATATACCTAAGTTCATGTTGCAAATGTAATTATATCTATCGATTTAGTAGGTGAAATGCAAAAAGAAAATCGACATGATGAAATATTTATGAAAATTCACATTTTTATTTTTATATTTTCAAGACACACACAGTTTGGGGCGGGACGTTTCACAAGAGAGACATCCACGGCGCCAATTTATAATTGTAACGAATAGTATTTTAATTAAAACATTTTAAAAACACACAGTTTGGAACGGGACGTTTCACAAGAGTGACATCCATGGCGCCAATTTATAAATATTTATAAAACCAATTGAAAAAAAAATGAAAATTTGAAAAAATGGTGAATTGAAATGATGAGTCGGGCGATGAGAGAAAAAAATAAAAAGATCGCGCTGGATATCCTCAACTCACTATTGGGAATGGTATAGCGAGGAAGGCTTGTTCCAGTCGGATTAATCAATGAAAAACAAATGTTCGGCAAACTGGAATCCCTTGGAAGGCAGTTGGAGGTTTGAAGGATGCGGAAAAGGAGAGGTGGATGTAAGAGATTTATTGCTGTCAATTTTGATTGTGTCCGACTTGTGTGGTGAAAATAAAAAGTTGAAAAATGAAAAAATGATGAGCCGGACGATGAGAAAAAAATAAAAAGATCGCGTTGGATATCCTGAACTCACTATTGGGAATGGTATAGCGAGGAAGGATTGTTCCAGTCGGATTAATCAATGAAAAAAAATGGCTGACGAACAATAATCTCTTGATGGGTGTAAAAAGTTGGGAGGAAAGGTTCATGGGATAGAGTTAGAGGTTGTAAGGGAAGCGTCAAAAATAACATTTTGAAAATCTATTAATAAAAAAAAAATGATAAATGTTTTATCTGTTTAAGAAATATTATAAATATTGTTAGGTGTAGGTTTTTTTAAATGGTGCCTAAAATAGTTGAAGTTGTAAAATTCTAAGTCTAAACATGATGAAAAAAAAAAATATTAAAGGTAATAATATATAAAGGGTTGATTGGTAGTTGATGGCATTAATGTTGATGGTTAATAAACAAAATGATATTATCGATTAATATTGAAATGTTTTATCTACATCTGTAAGTTAAAAAAACAAAGTCCAACACCACAAAACTAGTAAAACTGTAAGTCTATTTACAAGTAAATGAGAGAAAAGTTAAAAGAAAACAAAAATATTCGTTCCTGAAAAAAAGAACATTTTTACACACAATGTCTAGGTGTAGGTGCAAGATTACTGATGTCTTTCTAGTTTGGCCTACGGGGAGGCAATGTGGCCCTATGTCGCTTTGGTCCGGTCTGAGAAGTTGGTCTTTGCCAGATCTTCCCGATTATATTATGTGAGACCAGATGGGGAGCGATCTTGATCCCTAAAATGATGTCATTGTAGTGGAAGATAGGACTTTAGGTACGTGTATTATGTAGTGCATGTCTTAGGCGCTAAAAAGATTGCAGAGCGTTTTATGCAGTTGGTCTGCAAAATTTCTAGGTGAGCCTACCCAAACGCCGGTTTGTTACGTTTGGGGAACATCATTTAAAATATTAGCTTAGCAGATCTTTTCTCCATGTAACATTACGTTACATATGGGGAAATGAGAGGAGATTTTGTCTCCTCTCTTATTGTAAAGACGTTGCTGTATCACCTCATAAGCATAAATAAATAAGAGGCGACAAATTTGACAAAAAAAAGAAAAAGAAAAGTTAAAACCTTTTTGATTCCTAACAAGGGAGCCGGTAATGTAGTGTATGTTCGTATTAAATTGTACCCAAAAGTCCTATAATTAAATGATTGACAGGCAAGAGTGTTGAAGTAGGAAGGAATATCCCTGCTAATGGTGGATACAAAGGTCATTCCACCCCTTTAGAAGTAGGGAAGGAAAGACGGAGTAGAAAAAAAAACTAGGGGGGAGTTCAGTGCGTCCTTGAGTTGGTTGTCGTTGGGATGAAGATTGTATTTAATTGTCCTTTTAGGAAGCCAAGATGGCGTCTCCTTTGGTCTCATGTACAGGATCGATTTTAGAGATGGTGGGGACCTAAATTTTAAAACGGGGTTGACAAAACGATAAACTATCCTATAACATTATAAAAATAAAATTTGCTATAAAAGGGATTTTATATAATTTTCCTATCCATTTTAATCTGGCTGGTTCCTCTGTTAGAAGGATATTAAATTTAATCTGTAATATTGAAATCGTGGGTGTGAATAATTGGGAAAAGGTAGGCTATAAAAGAATTAATTAATTAACTAGTGTATAAATAAATGTGTTATGATCATGCGAAATGTGTTAATGGGATATGGGATATGCGAGAGGAATTAAAATTGATGTGAACAATGTAGAAAGTGCGAAATAAAAATGTATGTTTGAACAGGTGACAATCTAAGTCGAGCTCGGCGTTGTGTTTTGTTTTTGGAAGGACGGTAATTTAATAGCTATTTATGTAACATGGATTGTTTGCCAGACTTTCAGGACCTAGATTTCGCTAATTTTATGAAAATAGATGGGGGGACAAGTGATTAAATGGTTCGGAAAATCGATGAGCTATATTTTTTTCTATTGGACTAAACAAGTTGGGATCTAAATGTCGGAAAGGATCTATTATTCTATTTATTTTTAGGGGTTCTATATATATATATATAATTTGGATGGTGAAATATAAAGGACCTTTTCATTATAATATTGTAATTTATTTACATGTACAGTATCGCTATCATTACCTGTAATCCTATTGGGTCTATTTATACATACGACATTATCAGAAATTATTTCAGTAATTTTATATGGACCTGTAAAGTAGGGTACTAACTTACCGCTATTTGGATGATGATACGCCTTTACTAATACTAAATCTCCTGTATCAAAGTGTGGGTTCTTATGTTTGTTATCATATTTAATTTTCTCTTTGTCGTGCCTGTCATTTGTACATTGTATTGCTAGTTTTCTACTTTCTATTATATTGGGATAGGGGTTTATGTGGTTATTTAAGTCTGAGGGGATTATATTATACATAAGAAAGATAGGGATGTTATAGTATGGGGCGTGTCTTTATATTTATTAGTAACTATCTTAATTAACTTCGTCCACGAGGTTCCGGGATTCTCTAGGTGAAATAACCTTAGTTTCCCAGTAAGTTTTGCGTTAAGATGTACAGACAAATCGTTAGATTGGAGATTATTAGCGGTGATTAGGTTTAGAAAAATTATAAAAAATTGAATTTACGAAATTTTTCTAAGAGAAAAGGTTATGGCATGGGTACAAAATTCGGTAGAGTTTCGTAAATAACAATTTAACACAGGCAGGAATGAAATGCAATGGGGTATGGAAATTTTATGGTATGATATATATTAGTTTTCGCATATTACATTTATAGTTGTATTTGTAATTGTGGGAAAAATGGGAGGCACATTTTGAGATGAGATAATTTAAAATTGATATTTATAAAAATACAAATCTAGGACTAGTTTTTAAAACTTTTAAATATTGAGAAATATCAATTTGAATAGTAATACATAGGTCAAGTAAAATAAAGAGCGTGATAAATTTAATTATTAATACTATGGCCATAAATAAGGTATTAAAAAACACAAATAAGTTTAGAAAATAGGATTCGAGTAATTAAAATATAATATGATTTTTTATGTAAAATTGAAATTAATGAATTAAAATTTAAAAGTTGTTTAAAATAAAGTAAAAATTGATAAATGAGGGTGTACAAGATTTAAAATTTGAATTGAAATGTTATAAAAAATTGCAAAGTTTGATTTAAAATGATTACAGTGAAAATAAACATTAAATTTATGGAGAATCAAGTTGTTTTTAAAAACTCAGTTTTGAGGATTGTTCAGTCAGGAGACTTGGTCTTTAGTTGTTGTCCTGCTGATGGGGAAGACGTTCCAAGTAGAGCTCGTAGAAGCTTGTAACTTCTGTTGGGTGACGGCGGCATGTCGCCTTTGAGTAGCGCGCGGAACCGGGCTTGCAGGGTGGCGTCATCTTGCGGTCTCTCGCTCGTCCGCTCGAGTTGCTGGATGAAGTTGCTTGCTGCGTAGGATCCGTCGAAAGGGGAGATGAGGACCTCCTCCGCACGAGGCACGGCTAGTCCCCGAATGGCATCTGTTAAGCGGCTTACTAGGTCTTCTCAGTGGGGTTGCATGTTGGTGAGGGCATCCGCGACGTTTTCATCTCCAGCCTCCGTCATCCTCTACATGCTGCTGTGCTCAGTTATCCTGTCGACTTAAACGGGTTCTGTAGTAATCCCGACCAAGCCGATGTGGAATGTACTGGGCAGTCGTGGTCGTGGGTGCGTGATGGGATTCCCGCACGGGGACAGCAAGGAACAGAGGCAGGTCTAGATGGTAGCTCCAAGAGGTAGAGGTAGACCACGGACGAAGGCAGTCGAACCACGGGCGCCGCGGATGCCCTAAGCCTACATCGCGGATAGAAGGGGTGAGAGATCCGACCGACCGTATAACGGCGTCACTCTGAAAACAACTACTTTGCCTCATTTTCTGGGCCCTTTTATACTGGACCCCCGCATGTGGGGGAGAGTCCTGATTGGTTCTTGTAATCACGCCACTTCCTGGCGCCGTTTTGATGGGGTGATTGAACTCATTGTCGTCGTTTGGTCTACCTCTGCCTCTTTGTTTATTTGTTACATCCATTTTTACAAGGTCGATACATATTTTTATATAGATATGGGGTTATAATAAATATTAGAAGGTTGTGAACTATCTAACTCAAAATATACTACATATATGTGATGAAGTGTGAGGTTCTGGTAGCTCTTGAAGAATCCTGTCGACTTAGATGTGATGTAGAG